TTTTTTTTTTTTTTTTTTTTACAATAAAGCTACTTGTACAAGGTTGAGTTACAAAAGTTGGGTTACAAAGTGTGTTGGGAAAATTCAGACTGTTAATTTCAAATGATTCAAAAATTTATTTTTAAAATGATTGGTGTAAATGTTATTTTATCAACCAATTTTGTACATGTAGCATAACTCTTTTTTTAAAGAGAAACGAAAATTTAATTCATTGATGTAGTAATTTCTTGATGAGAGAAAGGTCGGTTACAAACCGAAATCTTTTTAAAAAAGGAAAATTTATTTATTACAAGAAAGATGCATGTAAAAAAAAAAAAATTCCATTTACTTTAATGGAGATACTACAACACTCAAAACAAAACAGGAAAATTCCTTAGTTACTCGAACGTTATTTAAAAAATGATAATACTATTCCGTTCGCAGAAGAACAAAATTTGCCGTTAGAAATGGCAAGCCGGCGACGGAAGAACATGAAATGAATGATTTATCATAGTGCCATTATCTCATCGGCAAAAGCCAAATCGCCCAAATCGTTGAAGTAATCATCAACTTCTTGGAATGAATCGTTAATATCCCCAAAATTAATGAATTCAAAGCTGTTGTCATCACAAGCCGGAATTTCATTAACATTTCCGAAATCATCGGAAAAGTCGAACAATGTCTGGTCTGGAGTTGGGAAATTGAAGAAATCATCCAAGAATCGAGTGTCCATGTGCAAACAATCGTTTGAACTGTCTGGTATTATACTTGTTTCCCCATGAAATTCTTCCCGGTCCTGAACCGGGTCACGGCAGGATCCGGATTCGTAACTTTGTTGGTTCTTTACATCCATGGAATCAAGAACTGGGACCTCACCAGAGCCAGATGGTTCACTAGATTGAGTACTAGAGAACCGGAGAACGGAGGTCGGAGAAGAAACATTATGCAACTCTTTATCGGACTCGTAGCCGGAAACTGACGTTACATTATTCTCCACGGCCGCTGGATTTGTGAAATTTGTTAAAGCATCCGGTCCCCGGAGCTTAATAGCAGCATTGTCATACACCATAGCAGCTTCTTCTGCAGTTTCGTAAGTTCCCAACCAAAGCCGGACTTTTCGCGTCGGGTCTCTTATCTCGGCTGCCCATTTACCCCACGGCCGCTGCCGGACGCCCCTGAACTTCCGCGAACCACCACTCGGGGCCTTCTGCTCCGCCGCCTTCACCTTCATTGTCTTCTCCTTGACCTGAAGCTTACTGATTGTGCCATTGACAAGGGTCTTGCTAGCTTTTTCAATACTGATTTCTTGAATGTATTTCTTAACACGCTGCCTTCTGAAAATCTCATCTTCGTTTTCATCCCCGGAGGAGTCTGTTGCATCCGGGTCAGTTACCGTTACCCGAACAGTTCTGTGAACATTAGATTTCTGCGGGTTTTGGGAGGGGTTTTTGGGGTTTAGATTCGAGGTTTTAACGAGTTTTTTGGTAATAATTCTGTGCTCCGTTTGTTTCACCGGCCATAACATAATGTTTTCTATTGACATCGTCAGGATTCAAACTCTCGGCTACTTTACTGATTTCAGATTTCTTTCTCTATTCCCACTGAAAAGAAAGCCTCTTTGAGAGTTGATGTACAAGTCGACCCGGTTATAAGGGTGTCTTTGATGCAAAAAATCTGATGAAAAGAGAAGGGATTCAGAGTACAGTGCCTTCTGAGAAAGTGAATTTTAAAGAGTAAAAAAGTATATATAAGAACAGGAGCGAGGGAGGGTTAATTATTAAAGAGGGATGGATTGAGTAAAAAGGAAAGAAAATATTAGTGTTTTCTTTGTAATAATTCCAAGAAAATATTTTAAGGAGGATATTGAAAAAAACACGGAAAGATTGCAGAAAAGTAAGGAAAGAAAACTGGGGGTACTGCACCGCTAGTTTGTTTTAGGAAAGAAAAAATTGGGTCCTGTGCTTGCGTTTTTAGACGTAGAATTGAACTTTTTGGTAAGAAATTAAAAGCAATCTTAAATTAGATTCTTGAATATGACAGTATCAATGTGGGGAAGTCTTTATACTTTGGTGGTGTGGAAGGAAGAGCTTCAATGAAGGCCATTCAACTTCAATTCGTTTCAGTTTGACCTGTCCAAGTGTGAGTGTAACCAAACTAGAAGTAATTTGTAATTTCATCTCAACTTATATTTTTTACACCAGAATTTTTGGGGTGCTAAAACATCGTGTTGTAAAATAGAACGACTCTTATTGTAAACAGTATGCTACATGTACATCACAATATACAGATTCGTTTATCAATAAATGTTGTGGTGAGATCTGATTGAGTTAAGATTTCACCAACCAACTGAAAAAAAAATTCCCACTTTTTTTGACACTTCACCAATCTATAAAACGATCTGTAAATGGTGATGTACAACAAATATTTTTCTATTCTGACGTGGTGCATTTAATAGTACTAAATGATATGTACATATGAGACTCGTTCCATCAACCGTAAATTATATTGTCCAAGTCATGATTAGCATTTGCTAAGTCACGCTTCTCATAATTTCGTAACAATTATAGACAAAATGAATAATTAATTAAAAGCTGAGCAATTAAATTAGTGCATAAATTAAGAGCAATTTAGCCCTTTTTAAAACATTTGATTTCGTTCAAAATCATATCAATGACATGTACGGCACCAATATATTAGTTTCAAAAAGACAATTTCGATTTGGTTAATAGCTTGATGATTTTTACTTACCATTCGACCGCACCAAAATTTATAAGTAGGAAAACGTGCTATCGAAAATTTGAAGGATGTCATTCTAACCAATATCAATGATTACGGACCAAGGATGCAATTTTTCCTACAATTTAAAGAAAATCTTGGATTGGCTATATCTCAGTACATTTCCTGTGTGGAAAAGTCTTCGGGGGTAGTCACCGGCGGACGGCGAGTGGGCCTTGAGATTCCGACCACGATGAGCCGGGCCATGTAGTATCGTCCTTAAAACATTTGATTTGGTTCAAAATCATATCAATGACATGTACGGCACCAATATATTAGTTTCAAAAAGACAATTTCGATTTGCTTAATAGTTTGATAGTTTTTACTTACCATTCGACGGCATCAAAATTTATAAGTAGGAAACGTGCTATCGAAAATTTGAAGGATGTCATTCTAACCAATATCAATGATTACGGACCAAGGATGCAATTTTTACTACAATTTAAAGAAAATCTTGGATTGGCTATATCTCAGTACATTTCCTGTGTGGAAAAGTCTTCGGGGGTAGTCACCGGCAGACGGCAAGTGGGCCTTGAGATTCCGACCACGGCGCGCCGCATTTTATTAGTTGGTCGTATGTGGGCTCAGATATTAAAGTTGGTCCAATGAATAAAGATCAAGTTGTGCTAAAGCAGTGCTTAATTTTTCATCTCGATTTACGTGTCGCCGGTCACGTGAGGCCCAGGATGTCTGGCCCGGGTAAAAATAAAATAAAATTTCGCCGGTGAATTTAAAAGCAATTTTAACAACTTACTTGTTTGACCAAATTTTAATAGATATATTAGGGCGAATTAAACTACTTGTACAATAAATTTGCATAATGATTTTGATAATATGTGAGGTGTATGGATAATTGTCATTGAATTCAAAAATAATCTTTCAAATCAATGGATATAATGTCTGCAAACTCACACATTGTCAAATTCATTGTAGGCTATATAAAATTCTCGAATCGAATTGGACTTGAACCGAATCGAGCGATGTTTCTTAAATCGAGAACCGACGGGTTTGATTCGATTCTCGATTCTAGATCTAGAACTGAAGAACCGAATCTCACTTTTTTTTTTATCTTAAATAAGTCAAATTATTTTATTTTTTTCTAAATAAATTTGCTAATTAATTAATATAGCTCATACCTAAAATATGATTTTTTATTATTTCCAATTTTCAGCCAAACCCAACTTAATTAAATTGATCTAAATTTTATTTAAATCTTTTATTCTACCGTAGTGTAGTTTTTGCCGTTCTATTATTGTGAACTCGCTATCTTTCTCTTTTTGTGATTTTAATGTTCAAATCTATGAAAAACTCAACAAAGAAATGTGCAAAAGATATCACCAGATTGGACTAAATTATTTTGTAAGAGTTAAGATTGAACATGTCATAATCGAATTAATGTAGCGTTGTTGTAAATATAAAAAATTAATTATTGTACAAAACCCGAGAACCGAACTGCATCGAATGGAACCAAACCCGAACGGTTCCATAATTAAATTTGGCCCCGACGATTCCACTTACTAAATATCTGAAAATTTTGGTTCGGTTCTCTTCAGAATCGAAGTGGACCGAACCATGTTAAACCCTAAGATATATATTGAATAAGTAATTATATTCACAAAACAATTTTATATATATATACCACAATTTAATTAAAAGAAAAGCTTTCAATATTTGCTCACTTTTACATTTATTTTCTCAACTTTTTTTCGTTGTATTATTATTCTTAACCTTCAATTAATTAACACATTTTATCTCTAATCACGGTTTTCATCCAAATGTTTTATTAACGTGCATTGAAAAGATGTTCTATTATTTAAAAATACGAGAGATAAATATGTATTTTTGCCATCATAACAAATATTTTGGATGAAAATTGTCTTAGTAGACAAGAAGTGAAAATTAATGGATGGTTGATGATAAAAAAAAAAAAAACAAAAACAAAAATCAACAAAAGTTGAGGCCTTAAGTGTAAAAACAAGAAAAGTTTAGGGATGTATATTATAATTAAAATGTGGCGTAGTTAACAAAAATCGTGGTGTGAATATAATTACCTTTTAATTATTTTAAAGCAAATTACCAGTCGTAACCCTCGTTCCACTCTTCATGTTTTTTCATTAATTCGAATTTCCATTTGAACTCGGTAAAAGAAGGCAAAACATTTAGTTTATACTTTGTAATCGAAAGAACAATCATATCATCACTTCTCTTTGTTAGCTTGCTTTAACATACAAGCTTAAGTACAAAAAAAAAATAAAAAAAAAATTTGATTGTATAAAATTTTCGTTAATTCTATTTTTTTCCTGCTTCTAAAATATTTTTTCAATTATTATATATATTTCGATTTGTTGGGTATATGGTGTGTTTTGAAAGGTCCACAGGTGAGAAAACTCGAGCCTAGCACATAGGCAAGATAAAGGCCAACCTTCCGTCAACCATCTAAGGCGCGCTTATACATTTTTCAGACAAGTTCTTTTTTTTTTTTTTGGTTTTCAAATGCAGTCCAACAAAATGTGCAATCACCTATGTCAACCTAATTTTTATCAATGGTTATGAACGGCCAAATCACTTTATATCCACATATTTTGTGATATTTACAGTTACCATTTGCTTATCTACTATCAATTTCTAATTATTTATAAATTAAATTATTTATAAACATTTTCAAATAAGATTTTAATTAAAAAGGAAATAAGTCCAACAAAAAAAATCATCACGGTTCAAAACTAGCTTGCCCACGACATAACCTTATATATATAAACTAGGCTTTGTTGCATAGGCTCGTAAGGTTTCAAATTTGACTTTGACGTCTTATTATATTTTAGGAAAAGAACCGAGCTGCTGTGCCAGGTCGGTAAAAGACCTGGCACAGCCATGTGAGATGGGGTGGGTGGGTGTTTTAACATTTTTGGGGGTTTTTTTTAATGAGTTAGGTCATCGGGACCCACCTCATGTGAGATAGTTTGTACAAAATCTGTGAACCAAAATCTGGTAAAGTAGAATAATTCTTAGGAAAATGCTAATATACTAGGTTATTAGTTCACAGATTGGGTACACGTAATAAAATATACATGACACGTGCAGCAAAAGGGTGGAAAAAGGAGGGAAATGTCTTGGTTCTTGTATTTTCCCCCAAAATAGAAACCACCCAAAATAGAAACCCACAACCAGTGAACTGAAGCCATTTCCAGTGTGTAGAAAAATCGATTGAACATGTCATTTTCTCTCCTAAACCTGCCATAGAGTCCGGTGCTGCCATACACTCTGGCGACCCTCGACGATGGCATTATCTACGTGAGGCATTTGTTGTTTATTTACAAATGTGAAAATACCTCGACACCTGCCAGACTCCGGCGACTTGACAACGGCATTATCTACGTGAGTATGTTGTTGTGAATTTATAAAACTGAAAATCGAAATTAATTGTAAATGTTGTTATGAAATCCCTCCTTCTTCACTTCATCAGTGTTGCCATTTCTTTGTTTGCCAAAGTTGGAAGTATTTTATGGCATTAATACATTATGCATATACACATATATATCTATTTTTTAGTTGCTGATTATTACCTTTCTGGAGCACTACACATGTTATTTGATTAGTATTATGTTGCCATTTATTTGTTTGCTAATTATTACCTTTTCACATGTCACCGCAGACTAAATTATGGAAAACGGGAATGATGATTGGTTGGTGGAATCCGGGAATGAGAATGTGACGGAGAATATGAACGAATTGGACGATCAAATGTTAAGGGAAGATGATCCAATTGTG